ATCAGAGAGACACGGGTATAGCAGATTGACATTGTCGCCACGGGGAGAACGATTAGGACAAGCATCTAAAAATTTTTAAGCTTTAAATATTTGTAAAGACTTTACATAATTCACTTTAAAATTCCTATTTTTGCTTTATAATTTAATTTAAAGGTTAAAGAAAATTATGAATTAAAAAAATCAAATTTTCGGATTTTTGGAAAATTTTATATATTATATTTTTTTATTACTTTATTTTTGTGAAATCGCCATTTTTAATGTATGAAAAGGAATGGTTTTGACGTACCTGATAAATGGCATAAAACCTATTCAAATCCACTTGGCTGTGGCCGAAAAATGTGAAATTCGCAGGGAATCTCCGCGCGCACCAATGGACCCGCGTGCCCTGGTTGATATTCACCTGAAAAAAACATGATTTAAATCATTTAAAAAATGTATTAAAGTTTAAAGGCACCGGGAAGGCCGAAGATTAAAGTTTTACAAAAAAGTCGACAAACTGAATTTTTCGGATTTTCTCGGATTGGAAATTCATAGATTTTTGCCTTCCAAGTCCCTTTTAAAAAAGCCGAGCTCTTTTAAGCGAGTTTTTGGCAGCCAAAGCTATTAAGGCGCATTTTTAGCTTACCAATCGATAATTGGAGTTGGGAAACAGGGGCTAAAAAGTTGCAAAATTAAAAATTTTGCGTTTTCCCGGATTTTCCAGCAATTTTTGCATACTTTTTAAGTTAAATTAATCCATGCATACCTGATAATCGATGCGAATTGCCGTCGGGATGGCCAATATTGCCGAGGCCAGCCATATTAACAAAATCACCTGAAAAAAAATATAAAAAATTAGCATATTTCAAAAATTTTCGAAAAACCCCAATAATTTTAGATTTTAGATAGGTTTTTCTATTTAAAACACGCAAGATTAAATTTGTTAAACTTAAATACCGGACAGTTATCTAAAATTCCATTTCCATCCGATTACGCTACCTTTTTCGCGCGGCCAATGGACGATAGCCACATATTTCGCATCGGATAGGCGATGGCTAGAAATCTATAAAATGGATATGATACCGTAACCTTTTAAACGATCCATCACGGCACTAAAATCGAGACGAAACGTACCTTTCAAAAGAAATCATGGTCATCGTCAGAACGGAGCAGAAACATGTGAATTGTTGGATGTAATGGACAGAATAACAGGCAAAACGGCCCATAAACCATTCGTGAGACATGTATTTGACGAACTGAAAAGAATATATAGTTTTTAGTCTAGTTTAATATTTTGTACTCATGAGCCTATTTAGAGATTTAATCAGATTACGCCAGGTATTATATTCTGTAGTCTGCAGCCAAAAGCCGATTTGGACAATCATGGGCAACTTTGTAGTCTGTAGTTTTGAGGCTCAAGGTTTAATCGATGACGCAAGTTATTCAGTGTTTGTAGTCTGTAGTCTAAACCCGCATTTACAGCTATTTTCCAAACTACAAAATTTGATATTATGAATTTGGCAGTCGATTACGCGACGAAATTAGTCGATCCAAACGAATTTTCATGGTGTAATCGGTTTAAAATAGTTTTTTTTCGTAGCGTGTAGTTTGTAGTCTGTACTCTGCTTGACCTACCATAATTGGAACACAAAACCATATGAGACACAAATCAGCCGTTGATAGAGATGCGAGAAAGACATTCGTCACATTTCGCATCCGTTTGAATCGATTGACGACAAAGATCACCAGCGCATTCCCGATCGTTCCTACCTACAACAAAAATTGTAGAAGTATGTAAGAAGTATTAAATTTAGAGAAAGAAATCCGCTGAATTTTCAATTTTATGGGCTGTGGCAGGCGAAAACTTCAAATATTTTTTTGCTGCTGTCATTCTCTCTTTAAAGGGACAGACACGGCAGAGCTATCAATTTCTCCGAGCCGCGGCACGCAACGCACGCGCGCCGCTTGTCTTCACTAACAGAAAATGTTTTTTAAAGGGACCGTGAAAGGCAAAAACTTCCAAAAATAGAATTGTTGATGTCACTGTCTCTTTAAAGGGATAAACCAGGCTGCAGTTTTAGGAATTTCCCGCGCCGCGACGAGACGCAACGCACGCGCGCCGCTTGACCCCCAGTGAAAAAGTGTCGTAATCGATTACGCCGTGTAAATCCAAGCTCGCGCGTTGCTTATCGGGTCGCGGTACGGTCCCCAGCCTTGCCAGTCCCTTTAAAAACCAAGAATGCCATCCCTTACCAAAAACACGACCAAATACAGTAACGCCGGGACCATAATCTCCATCCAATCGACGCGCATTAATGACGATTGCCCGCACAGTTTGGCGCACATCTGAAAAACGCGAAAATTTAGGTTTTTTGGAATTTTTCTGGAGTTTGTAGTTTGTAGTCATCTTAAACTTACCGGAATATAGGTATGGATAAGAATTGAGCAATTGCAATCCTTTTCCGAGAAATCATCCCAATTGATCTCCTGGTAGTCCTCTTCCGTCAGATCCGGGCCTGAAAAACCTGAATTTAAATAATTGAATATTTTATTTCTTAAATTTTAGATATATGATTTTCAAACAGCTTTTTTTGAATTTACCGCCATTTAAATCAGCTGTATTCAAACCGCCAATTTAAGAAAACTTAGATTTTTTCTTGCAATCCGAAATTTAAAAAATTACACTTAATTTGCATAAATATTTTAGCATGGTTTAAATCACCATAATTTATATTTAAATCTGTATTTAAATCGGCAATTTTTCAAAAATTCGATTTTTTTAAATCGTAAAATTTAAATAATTTGCCTAATTTGCATAAATATTTATATGCCGTAATTTGCATATCAACCAGCTAAAAAAACCCTCAAAAACTGAGCACATTTTTTGGTGAATGTTCGACAGCGTTCGCTCGATATTTCTGGCCTCTGAGGGGGATGGGGCCCAGATTGGAGAGGCCAACTTTAGGGTAGGGTTTTGACTTCAATGGGCCTTTAAAATAGCGTTTTAGGCGGAAATGATCCAGCTAATTTTCGTGCTTCTCGCCCTGGCATGTATGATGTGTACTTCGATGATGGTCATGGCTGTATGCATCGGGTATGGTGGCGGAGGGGCAGACTAGCAGAGAGAATTTGGGAATTGGAATGCGCTGGGCTAGCTACAAGGATTAGACTTACACCAACCAGCAGAGACCATTTGATGGGCTAATTCAAGATGGTCAGCTAGCAGAGACCATTTAGGAAATCAGGATTTCCGGGGCCAACTAGCAGAGTTTTTGAGGAAATCCTTCCTTCGACGGACCTTGAAAGTGAGAAAATATACGTCGAAGCCCGGGGAAGCTAGCAGAGGCGATTTAGCGCGGAAAAGTGACCCGGGTAACTAGCAGAGATCAGTCAGGAAACCAAATTCCACATGGTACACTAACAGAGTTTCTTTGGGAAATTATGCCTTCAACGCCCAGCCAAAAAGGCCGGGCTTCAAGGAGAGTAACAAAGCAGCAGACCTTGGGCTACAACTGAAGGCTTGCAGCGGGATCATTTGCTAAAATATCTTGCCTTCAACGTCCCTTTAAAACCCAAAAAAATTGACATTTTTTAAGGTACCTCTACCGGCAGACGAGCAAATTGTCCCCCTCCTCTTCCCAATCCACCAACAAACCCTCAACCGACCCCAATAATTCGGGAATTTTACGGGTTTTTTGGGTCTAGTGCAGCCGGTTAGTGGCTAGAGTGCCAGGCGGAGGGCCCGGGTTCGGATCTTTCTAACGATTTCCTGAATTTTTGCTTTTTTCTAGGTGCCAGCCCCTCCCGGCCCCGACTCACAGGCCAGCCAGCCACGCACTGCCATCGGATCTGTCGGTTTTTCGGGGTTTTCTTTGCGAAAATGAATCAAAATTTGCCCAGTTTTGCCTTCAATGGCCCTTTAAAGCCAATTTGATGACGTAATCGATTGTCCTTTTGTTGCAGGTGGAAACGACGGGCCCGAGCAACTCTGCCTACTCGTACATTGATCATTAGAAGGGAGAAGAAGCGACTGCCCGATCGATGGAGATCGATCTCTCATCCTCCTCTCTCCTCCACTACCCTTCCATTCAATTTCACAAACAATAAAAACCAACAATTATTCGTCGATAAAGCCATTTTTTGTGTATTTTGACAGACCATTTCATGGCGTAATCGGTTCTATAATTATTTTCATGCCGTAATCTATCGTCTTGGAATTTCGTGTCGTAATCGGTTTTCCTGAATTTGAGGTCGTAATCGGTTGCGTGAGCGACCGTTTTAATTTGCCGTAAAAATTAGCATAAACCAGGGTTTTTATGTGGATTTTTGCATAGCGGAAATTCGGAAACTCTTAAAAAAAGAATGATTTGTCCATTCCATCCATCTCGAATCGACAGATGATGGTGTCTACAGTATTCTCCTCCTCTCCGAGGGCATTTCTGTGTGTTGTCTACCCTCTGTTCTCTCTCCTCCTCCTCATTCAATCGATTGATGCTCAAGATCCGAAGCTGGGCGAATTGGAGGGAAGGGTCAAGAAGCTCGAGGAGGAGTCGGGGCATGTACGTCATTTCTCATAACTAGCAGAGGTTATTGGGGAATTTGGGGGCCAGCTAGCAGGGAGCATTTCGGAAAGTTTTTATAGGGCATGCTAGCGGTTATTCTTTGCGGAAATTAGCAGAGTCCATTTGGCAAATACTGGGCCAGGCTAGCTAGCAGAGAGCCCTTGCAGAAAACGCTATCGGGAGAACCTGTGCAGAAATCCGGATTTTAACGCGACTGACAGCAGGAATAGGCGAGCTAGCAGAGATTCTTTGTGGAAATCCGTTTACTAAGGCAAACTAGCCGAGCCCATTTTTTATCACTAAAGTGCGGTAACAGACATTCTAGCAGATATCTTTGCGGAATTTTTCCTACAAACAGCTAGCAGGGATTCTTTAGGAAAACCCGCACGACCCTGGCAATATAGCAGAGATCATTTGCAGGGGTTCCTCTCCCTGATGGTGTTCATTCTAACAGCTGGAATGATTGTGCTATGCGTTGTGGCTGTCGGCATTGGCATCATTGTTTAGTGAGCTTTTTCGTGCTTTTGATCCACCGTACTCTAACGTAGTCTACCCTACTCTACCGTACCCTACCGTAGCCTAGCTTAAGATAAAAATGATCATCCCCTTTTCCAGCCAAGTGTGGCAGAGCAGCAAGGGTCTCGTGCTGCAATACAACGAATTGAAAGGCCAAGGGCTGTCCGTATCGGTAGGCCACGCCCCTTTTGCTGCTGCTATCACTGTCCCTTTAAAACCCCAAAATTCTGAATTTTTCAGAAGATCCAAGCCGTCGTCGCCAGCTCACCGCTGGCCAAATCGGGCGAGGGAGGGGTAAGGAATTTCACGTTTTTTTTTCGTTTTAAAGGGGGCGTGACAGGTTGAATTTCCAGATTTTCAAGCCAAAAAATCGCAGTTTTGATTTTGCTATGAATTTTTCGGCGTATACTAACTATTTGAAAACGGAAATTGATCGACTATGACGAATTTTCGGGATTAAAGGGAGTATGACAGACTAAATGTAACAATTTTCGACAAAGATTGAGCTGTTTTTGAGGGATTTGTGCTTATTTTTTGCCTTCACAACCCCTTGAAAATGCTGAGAATCGATTAATTTTATATTTTTCTATTTTAGGAAACGAAAGAGAAGTCGGTGATCGCCTAGGGGAACGGATGGCAATGAATGAGGGATCAATCGATATTCTCGCCCTCCTCGCCTCTCTTTTTTCTGTCGAATTATAATTAAGCCACGCCCCTCTGGGGGATACGGTGGCTTTTTTAAATAAATTGTTCAAAATATGTTTGGGGAATTGCATGGAATGGCCAAAGAAAACTCGAAAAAGTAGCAAAAAAACGCGATTTTCAATCGATTACGGTATGAAAATTCGCTGGAATTGATTACGCTTTGAAACTCTACGAGAATCGATTAGGCGATGGAATCGTGAGAACCGATTACGCGACGTAATAGCCATTTTTAAGGGATTACGCGATGAAACTATTAGCGATTCGATTACCCCATGTAATTGCGGGTAATCGGTTACGACGCGAAATTGAGAGACAGCCGATTACGCCACGAAACTTTGGGAATACGTAACGCTATGTAATTCCCATCATCATGCAATTAAGCTATCTAATTTATCGCGAATCGATTACGGTGGGAAAATCATCCCTATCCGATTACGCCATAAAAACTCGTAAAAACTTGCCATGTGCCTGCTGGCTGCCCTGTTGGACGGTATAGCAAGAGGCATCCTCGTCTTCCATCACACACCAAATGACACTGGGCGATCGATCGATACGGTACCTGGAAAACGACAAGAAATAAATTGAAACTACAGAATACAAAGTACAAAATGGAACGAAAAATAGCCCAGAAAAACGCGAAACAACGGATTTAACGCAAAAAAATCAACATTTCTATGGATCTTTGAGAAAATAAAACAATGGGGGCTACGCTGGAGTACGCTAGAGTCATTAGGAGTGGAGCGGAGTGTGGAATGTGGTGGAAAAGGGAGAATAAAGAGCTTTTTGGATGCATTGAAAAGCGGCTGGAAGGGAAAAGGGCCTCAGAATTCCTTTATTTTGTTGTTTTTTGAGGCTTTTTTTGGCGCATTAAATCGGACGGATTACGCCATGAAATCTAAAATTTTTAGGTATACAGAGGAATTTAGCGGAATTATGCATTTCGCGTTTAAAACGGAGGAAAAGCGGCAAAATTGAGGTTTTGAAGCGCTAAAACTATCAAATTCGAGCGTCTATAGGGCCATCGAAGACAAATTTTACCCTCCTACAACCTTGAATGGACCTTTAAAACACCAAAAATCCTATTTTCACCTACATTTCCGGAATTCCTAAAGTAGAGTTGTTTTTAGGACCCCCGAAAAGTTTAGAGTAGAGGGTGGGGGAATGGCAATTTGTCGAGATGTCACCCTATTCCCATCCCATCCAATAATTCGCCCCATTTCCTGAAAACGACCAAACCAATTCCGAAACGCTCCAAAAGACGGAGAGTGGCCGACTACGTAGCGTTTCGGAAAATACGGATTCCCAAAAAAACAACATTTTTCGAGTTTTTGGGTAAATAACATTGTGTATTCGATCGAACCCGTTTCCGCAATGGTCTTTGCTAGCCCGCCCGGCTCAAATTAATAGATTACGCTATGAAAAAGACAAAAAATATGAAATTCCGGGTTTTCCGGGTCGATCACATCGCGTAATCAATTTCCCGGATTCCTCAATGATTGCTGCTAGCCTGCCTGTTAGTAAAATAGATTACGTCATGAAAAATGCAAAAAAACGATGGGATCTCGAGATTTCTGGTTAAATAACATGGCGTAATCGATTGATACGGCGAATTCCTCAATGCTTTCTGCTAGCCCACTACGTAGCACTCCTGTTTACGGACAACAAAAGGTGGAATTTGAGGCAATAGAAGTCAATAACATGCCAAATTTCATTCAGCAAAATCCGAAATGCTCTCCGCTAGCTAGCCGCTCCGTCCAATCAATTACGCCATGAAAAAGGGGTGATTTCTCTAGATTCCGAATTTTTAGAGATTTTCAAGCCGACCAGAGGAGAAATGGCAAGGCTTTTGGCCCCTTTCAGGCCAATCGATCAATCACAAAAATGACAACAGGTCTCGCTTGGGTCGAGAGGAGCATGAGGGGACAGGGACAAATGATGCTCCCTAGGTGATCACGGCTAGGGATCATATTCCTCCGAATTTCTGTCGGTTCGCCCCTGTTTTTGGTTGTTTTTAGAGCTTGTTGTTTTGTTAACATCTGTACTTGTTTGTCTGTCAGCTGTAGGCTTCCTCCAGCTCCTTCAATATCGGGTTTCTCGCTCCCGGAAGTGCTCAAAACTCGTGTTTGTATGTCAGTTTGTCGAATTGTATGCCTGTCTACCCGTCAAAATCTAAGTTTAACGATTGTTTTAGGCTTTCTGGCTGCCAGAAAGCCGCTTGGCGTGACCTTGTAGTCCGTATCGATCCAAATTCCATTAATCCACCCACAAATCCCTTTCCCGCAATCGAAAAGTCGGATTAGGAAGCCATTTCTCGATATACGGAAGGTAAGAGAATGAGAGAGAGAAAGCGAGAGAGAGAGAGAGAGAGAGTGAGAGAGTGTGAGAGAGACAGACAGACAGAGAGAAAGAATCTCCAGCCGCATAAGCCATAAAAATGAAGCCACATTGACGGAAATGAAGCCAAATTAAACCCGAAAAAGGCTAGACCGACAGAATCCCTAGACTTTGACGCATTAATGGCCAAAAACGTTGTTTAAAATCCGGAATATTTACTAGCATTTTAAGGCGGCTGAAATCGAGTGGAATAATTTGAAGCCAGAAGCTAAAGCTTGAAGGGAAAAGCCGAGGATGTGGATAGGAAATAAGCGGAAATTGGAGCGGGAAGGGGAGCTGATTTAGGTAATCTATGGCCAACAGAAGGGGGAGTTGAAGAAGGAAATACGCTAGCTGGCAGCCAATTCGGGTATTTAGAGTAGAATCCATGATTTTACTATGCTTTCGGTGAGATTTACTACTACGAATTGCTACAAAATACACCGTTTTTGACGCAGTTTCCCGCGGAACATCGAAAATTTAGCTGTCTCGCGCCCTTTAAAAGAGGTATAACCTTAAAACAATCGATAAATATGTGCTGGCACGCCGCCTTTAGAAAGCCGCAACCAGTTGGATAGTGGACGGTGTAAAAAAACAAGGAAAAATTGATTCTTACGCCTTTTTCGCACAGCAAAACGATAATCTAGCTATCTCGCCCCCTTTAAAAAAGCTATTAGCTTAAAATAATCACCAAATTAAATTTGTGCATATTTTTGTAAATTGCCAAAAGGCAGAAGCCACCCTCTTTTTCGGGATACGGTAGAAAATCGCAAAAATTCGCGTTTGGATCGATTTTTCTGAGTAAATAAGTGAAAGTATCTTGTAAGGACAAGGCATTTGGATAGAGGGGGAGGAGGAGGAGGTGTTGAGCATCTCCTTCTCCTCCCCACTGGCCATCCTCTGGAATGAAAAGACAAGAATCTCCCCCTCCTCTCATTGAATATTCAAGGTATTCTTAAGGGATCTACAGATTATAGGGACAAGAGAGGGACAGAGAAAGAGAGAGCGAGAGAGAGAGAGAGATAAAGAGAGAGACAGAGAGACGGACATAGTGAAAAAAGACTCTTTCCTGTAAAAACCCAACCCCCTTGATGAGGGTGGCTATTTGATGCCCAGGAAAGTATGAAGCAAAAATAGGAAGCCGGAAATAGGATTGGCGCGTTGGTTTCCAGGATTTTGATCAATTCTTTCAAGTTTTAAAATAGTTTTTAGCGCGCCGCGACACTTAACGCGAGATACACCGTAACCGCAACGCGAGACAGAACGCGAGACGCAACGCCGCGCTTTTCTGCCGATAACCAATTACGCGATGAAAAGCGACCATGCGCGTCGCGTACCGCGGATTTATACGGCTCCGCTTAAGATGAAATTTGCAACTCCGCGACACGCAACGCGGTTTTAGCTGCCAACACGATAGTGCAATCAGTTACCCGATGAAAAGCGCGCGTGTGCGTTGCGTGTCGCGGATTTTTCTGGCTATATTTTAGCTAGGAAATTCGCGGCGCTGCGACACGTAATGCGCTTGCCCGCCTTGAAGTGGCGTAACCGATCACGCAACATAAGAGCGAGCGTGTGCGTTGCGTGTTGCGACCGTCGGCTCTGCGGATCGATCGCTTTCCCAGCGTCCTAAAGGCGTAGTGACAGCCAAAATTTTAACAAATGTTGCAAAGAAGGAAATTAACCCTCTAAAACCATCCAAAATTCCAGCGTTCGTATTTTAGATAGCACTGGAAAAGCTGATGCTCCTTGAAGCGAGGGTGAGTAGCATTTTAGGAAACGGATGGATGAACAAAAAGGGACAAAAAATAGAGACGAGGAAGACGTCTTCCTCCCCCGTCTACTTGTCGTCTTTATCCCCTCGACACTCGAGAATCGAAAAAGGGAATGAGAAGGGGGCGAGAGCGAGAAAGGACTACGCGACACTCCTCTTGACGCGTCAGCAAGAAGGGAAGCCGTATAATTCAGGATTTTCAGGTGGGGAATGTGATTCGTTTACATGGAACATGGGAACAATTAGAGTTTTTCTTAAATCTTGTAGAAAAAAATGATATTTATGCGATTTTAAGACCAAAACATTGAATGCAGAGCGTCGAATCTCGAAAAATCGTTTTTTTTTCGCTCGTTACAACAGAAAAAAATGGCCAATCAGTTGCTTTGTTAACAAATTGAACAACCCAATAAAATTTAAAATTGTTTTCAATTTTTAATCAATAATGAGTTTAAAAATGCAATTAAAAGACCTCTAATAATTTTAGCTAATTTTGAAGGGATTTTTGGAGCTTGGGTTTTGAAGGAGAGCTAAAATACGAACAATAATCTTCAATTTCGTTAAAAAACTCATAAGTGAAGATATCCGCCAAGGAATACCCAATTTCCCGCTACCTCAAAAAACCTGGGAAACGTGTGAATGTGGATGGGAGATTAGTCAAACCCCCCGAGGAAGGGGGAAGGGCAATGGGAAGTCTCCACTGGACCCTCATTTGCATATTTGGCTCGAGTCTACTTTTTTATCGAGTCCCAAAGAGAATAGCCAATCAAAAACGGATTCGGCGCGGTTTTCTACCGTATGTTCGAGGGTTACGGTAGCGCGGCGGGACCCTAGAAAAATTTACAACATCGCCACTGCCAGTCAGTTTATCGATTGACAACCGTAATTTTCCAATTACAACCAGGAAAATCAAGATATACCCCAAAAAGTACGCCAGAATCCAATCGACACCGCACGGCCGACGGGGGAGAAAATGAGGAAAATTGACGAGAGTTATGGCCCGGGCCGGGGGCCTTTCCGGCTTAATCCGGTCGACCGGATCGATGGGTTAAAAGGAGAGGATGGAGATAGAGAGAGAGTGAGGGTGAGTGAGAGGGAGAGAGAAGGGGGGAAGAGAGAGAGAAATATGAAAATGGGGGTCTGGATACCTGCGCGAGGCGATACAGCGGATTATCGGATATCTTGAGGGGAAGACGAAGAAGATACGGTGGCCGGGGATTAACGGGGAAAATCGCAGGAAAATTCTGCTTTCACGGGGGAGGAAAATGCCAATTAAGGGGCCCGCACTACTTTTTGGATGGGATTGGAGGTGATTCCACAGGAAACTCGGCTAGTCTGCCGTTAGTTAGGAGAGCAAAGGATCTCTGCTGGCTAGCCCTGAAAAAATATAACATTTCTTTTTTATAGCGAAAATCTCTCTCTGTCTCTCTCTCGCTCTCTATTTTTATCTCGCTCCTTCTCATTCTCCCTCTCTCTGTCTCTCTCTTTCTCTGTCGCTCTAAGCTAAAATAAGCTAAAAAAATACGAAAAATTCGATTTTAAAGGGACAGTAACAGCAAATTTCGACTTTGGCAGACTAGATCGCCGTAATTTCATCAGCCGCACTTTCGCATAAAGTTTCTGGTGTTGAGAACAAAAAGAATAGTGGTATCTCCGGGCTCAAAAACCCCAGGAGGCTGGAACTATTGGAGTGTAGAGGCCCTTTCTCTCTCTCTCTCTCTCTCTCTCTCTCTCTCTCTCTCTCTTTTTCTAATTCAATCCCTGCGGACACCACAAACTCTTCTGGGGTGAGTTGATTCTCTTTACTAGAAAAAGGAGCTAAAGGGGGGATTGGAGGAGTGGAGCTGGAGGGGTGTGAAGAGTTTATGCTCCCCAAAAGAATCGGCTTCTTCTTGTTCGCTTTATCTAGCTGACTGAGATGATTGTTGGTTTTCGTGCCCTCCAGAAAACGAAAAAGGCAATCAAGCATGGACTTGTCTTTTTCGAGGGGATGTTTGACAGGATGGCTGATGTCGATTGGAAAAAAGCATAAAACTCGAAAATCCGAAGTTTTCTGAGGGCAGGCTAGCAGAGATCCTTTGCGGAAAAGCGGACTATCTACCATGGACTTACCACCATTCTTGGAAGTACCTTATAAATATAGATCGCAAACTCGGAATACCACGTCGAAATGGTCGGCTAGCAGTGTTTTTTAGGATCTTCGAAATTCGAGATTTACGGCAAACTAGCAGAGACTCTTTAGAAAACGGCTGATCCCTGTGGAAAATTGGCTGCCTTGAGCTTAAATCCAAAATTTCATCAGAACCCGCTAAATACGGAATTTTCTATCGTAATGGATAGCTAGCAGTCTTTTAGAATTTGAAAATTCTGACATTTATGGCCAACTAGCAGAGAAACTTTGCTCGAGGTGCTGGGGAGAGGAAACTGGCAAAGATCTTTGAGGAAGAATCCAAAATCTCGTCAAAAGTGAATATCGTAACCAGGGTTGGTCATTTTCGGATCGGACTGGATCCGGATCTGGATCTGGATCGGATCCGGATCCGGATCCGCCGTAGGATCCGGATCCGGATCCAGATCCAGGGCGGATCCGATCCGATCCGGATCCAAGGAAATGGATCATGCAACCGAGTTAAGTGCTAATTCTTAGATGCAAAGATCAGTTCTGCCTCAGGGCTATGTATTTTTGCGATTAACATGACCGAATCAGCATCAGAATCGAGAATATTCCTTCCGGTCCCTTTTTTCCTCGGATCCGCATTGGATCCGGATCCGAGCGGATCTGGATCTGGATCTGGATCCGGATCCTAATGCGGATCCGATCCGGATCCGGATCCTTACCGATCCGGGTCCATCGGTGAACAACCCTGATCGTAACCTATCTATGTCTCTCTCACTCTCCCTCTCACTCTCACTCTCGCACTCTCTCACTCTCTCACTCTCTCTCTCTCGCTCTCCATTTATTCCCTTGCAATCCAAACACCAAAAATCCAATCACAATCGCAATACAAACCGCACACCTTATGCTCTAATGGAAATGATATCTGAACAACACACAAATAGTCAATGATCCATTCATAAAGCACTTCCATTCCATTCGATTCTCAAGCGTGATTCCTTCCACTACTCATCGATGGTCTTTGTGATGTCTGTTGACTGGCCGTAGAGCGTTGAGAGGCCTGGGATGCTTCACTGCTGATCGACACAGATTGAGACTGGACGGAGACTGAGGCTGGGTCCAACGAGACGGATCGGGGCTCTAAAAAAGTGACTTTTTGGTTTTTTTTTAGAGATTTTGACGGAAGAATTTGAATTTTTTCGAAACTTTGTATGTTTTTTTGTGGACTTTTGACCACAAGAAACAACATAAAAGTTTATAAAAATCGTAAGCGTCTAAGTAAAAATCCTGAAGTCTCAAAGTGCCCTACCCTCCCTTCCGCTCTTCCAAAAAATCATCCAAATGCCGGCCGTCAACGCGACACAGAGCAGTACACAGACACAGACACCGAAGATGATCTCCACGAACGAGCTGAAAAATCGATTTTTTTTCGAGGTTTGATGAATCTCCCCCCGCTAATAGCCAAGTACCCTAAATCCACCCACAGTTCCGAATCATCATCATCGCCACCATGTTCATCAGAATGGCCGGGCGGTGGTGGTGTTTTGGCGGTACTGGGCGAAGTCGACGTGTCGGGCGTCGTTGTTACCGGGTTCGTGGCTTCGGTGGTAGATGTACTCGGAGTTGTGGCAATTTTCGTGGTGGTTGTAGGCTTCGGAGTGGTAGTTGTGGTTGTACTTGCCGTAGTGGTCGTCATCGTAGTAGTTGGCGTGGTTGTACTTGCTGCAGTCGTGGTCGTCGTAGTAGTTGTGCTCGTTGTACTCCTTGTAGTTGTTGTCGTCGTACTCGTAGTAGTCGTCGGAGACTTAGTCGTTGCAGTAGTGGTAGTAGTGGTGGGTGTAGGTGTGGTAGACGGCGTAGTCGTACTTGCCGAAGTCGTGGTAGTCGTAGTTGTTGGTGTTGTTGTTGTTGGCGGGCTCGTGGTAGTTGGCAAAGTAGTTGAAGGTGTTGTGGTGGTTGTAGTTGCCCCCGGCAGCCACGAGTCCTAATACACTTTCCCAAAAACCAGACGAGAATCATACCTGATACTCGAACGTCCTCGGGTAGATATTCTGGGGAATGATGGAGCTCAACTAAAAACAATCGTCTTAATTGCTTGTTAATATTAATTAACCCATTTTTATAGTGATTTCAATAGTTTTTGATGGCTAAAAAGCTGTAAAAATGCTTAAAAATTCGTAAGTATTTTCAGATCGTAGCCAGTAAATTTTTCGTGTATTTTTGACGAAAGGGTCAAAATCTATCGTAAATTTTTTTTTTTTTTTTCTTAAAACTGCGGCAAAAATACATTTTTGGTTTTTTTTTTTTGGGTGGGGGGGTCTGGGGTATAACCTCCCCCCCCCCCCGGCGCCCGGGCAGCCGTCCAAGTTCCTTAGTTTTTCACATACCCTCGTTTGAAAGTGTTTCTCAGTCAATTCCATGAAAGACCAGCTGGCCGCGGCGACCAGTTGCATCGGGAAATTGGGGTACTGCTTCCGCTCGTATGGATCGAGATCTGGTGGCTCTTCTGAAACGGGTTCTTTGGCATTATCGGGGGGGGTAAAACTTTTTTTGCTTAAAGCTAGGGTTGTTACGGTCCGGACCGAAAAAAAACAGACCGCATTGAAGGCTGATATCCGGGTAGAGTCTGAAGCCATACTGCCAACATCCGACTGGATTCATTTGCCGACTAGCCCCCTCCGCATCAACCCATTTCGTCGCGCAAAAAGAGATATATTCGGCGGGCGAATGAGGGCACGCTGAAATTTATCAATTTTGAAAAATTGGGTACTGGTTTGTTAGCGGGGGTGGGGGCATTTTCTCAGTTATACTGTGCATATAATTCACACAAAAAACCTAAAAATTCTAACAAATTTTGAAAAATTTTCACTGTTTGTGTCAAAATTTTATAAAAAAAAGTACCAAAATTGGTCACATTTTTATTCATTTTTATGGTGTTTTTAAAATTTTCTAGCAAGCAAAAATTACCAAAAAGACTAAAATACATTATAGAGGCCTGACAAATAAAATAAGCGGGAAAAGCCCTCCCCCCGCTAACAGTCCAGTACCGAAAACTGAACGAAAATTGACTGAGAAGGGCAGCTAATCGAATCTAAACATACCATAAGCCACGAGTGTATATGTGCCATCGCCATTGTTGACCTCTTCAATGTAGGCGATACCCCAATCGACATCTTCATCGACAGCGGGTGGATATGGGATACGTGTCACCCGTTTACAGTCATGCACAGGGTGCCATGGCCACCCCGTCACGTCACACACTACTTCCTAGAATGATGTCATCAACTATAATAATTTTCTGACGCGTCCGTCCGTCCGGTGAAGCCGAATTCAACCGAAGGGGAAAGGACTAGAGTTAGCCTCTTCGGATTCGGATAGAGCGCCCTCAGAAACCCCCAAACTGTAAAATTATGAAAAACTTTTTGTTTAAATTATTAAAATTAAATTGGAAAGTTTTTTCGTTAGAAAAAGGGGTGGGGGCCCCTCTCCCGGCAGGCCACGCCCCCTTTCCCTTCGCCCCTCTTCCCCAGGCCCCCCGCGCCCAGATAGCTTTTTTAAGTTACTTTAATACTTTTTAATACTTTTTAATACTTTTTAATTATGTTAATTAATTATTTAAATCATCTAAAGCCATCGGGAAGGTATTTAGGTAGTTTTTGAAGGGGATTTCAGCCATGGGGGGTATCTGAAGCCATCAGGAAGGTATTTAGGTAGTTTTTGAGGGGGATTTCAGCCATGGAGGTGGGAAAGGATGTGGTGGAGTGGGACATGTAGGGTAGCCGGAAGGCCAGATGGTTGCAGTCGCGAAGCGACTGTAACCATCTGTTGTTTTCATTTGTCACTCGGAGGGTAAGTGCAGAATTTTGAAAGTTTTATCTTGGATTTTTTGCACTTTGAAACAGACTAAGGTAAGAGTCTAGAAAACCCCCCAGCCGGCACCAACTTTTGTATCTCGGCCCTCCTTTGTGCTAGCGAGCTCTAAAGTATACCAAAATGTTCGCAGTAGGCTAATTCGTAAGACTACATTGCAGTTCAGTCGAAAAAAGTAGTGAAAAATAAAAATAAGGAAGGTAGAAAAGTTGAAAAGTCGGCTGGGGGGGGTTTCCTAGACTTGAGCCACAGACTAAAAAAGTACATTCATTTTTGCTAGCTGTATATTGCCCCCCCGCTAACAATCAAGCACCGAAAAACTACCGCCGAAATCATGCCATCATTTTCGGGTCGGAGACGAGCAAAAGGCAGAAAAAGGAGCAGCAGCAGCACCAGGCCACCCATTCTGGAGGTACCAAACAGAGAAATTACCCTTTTTCAGGATCTTTTTTCTAGATGCAAATTTGTCCCGATCAAATTTCTGTCTGTTATCTTTTCTTTACGACTTTTTCAAGCTTGTCGTAATTTTGAAGCCATTTAGGCGGTTTATTTCCCTCAAATTATCGCCTATCACATGCAAAGATTTGTAGATGAACAGGGCGGCAATTGGCAGATGAAGGGATGGGATTGAGAACAGTCATCTTGGTAGAGGGCCGTTTGGAAACCGCTGGTCCGCCTAAAAATTTTACTAAATTTATGCAGTAAAGCTATGAAAAAACACCCAGGGCTCAGCCTAAAATACGAGACTAGCGGTAAAAACTTGATTCACAAATTAAAACTAACACCTATAACGCTTTGATAAACCTTTTCTTTCCTTCTCATATTTTAATATCTCCATTTTATTATACTTTCACCTTTTCTTCAATTCCTTTCCCTTTCAATTTATTCTTAATCTTCTTACCCATCCATTCGGTTACGTTAGCCTACACCCCCACCCTATCGACACAGCTTTTCACGGCCGTTCGTGCTAATAGAGCCATCTTCTAAATCAAAGAGAATTTCAGAGGAAGTGAAACAAATCTTACTAAAACGCATCCAAAATACTAATTTCAAATTAAACTTAAAAATACCATACTTTATACCAAAAAATTTAACCTTTTGTACTAGAAAACATCAGGGATCCAGCTGAGGAGACCCACCCTGATGTTAAACTAGCCTGTCTTGGATAAGGGTCGAAACAGGCACCCACTTTACCTTTTTCTTCTTTTAGCTCTTCTTAGAGCAACCCGCCATTCCCTTGTGGTTTGGTTCACACGGCTTTGCCGTTCGCTCGCTTGCGAGTTCACACCCTTCGGGGTTCCGCAGGCTTCGGCCTGTTAAGACTCCCACTGTTCGCAGTGTGGAGTCTCCTTTCATCTTTATACTTCTCATATATTACTTTTCTCTCTTTATTATATTTACCTATGTTTCGTTGACGCGTAGGGCTATGCCCAGGCTTAACGAATACATAGTGTAAACTCAATTTCAACTATTTATTAACTATTCACTTTTCAAGCGATATTAATTTTCAAATTTTCTGCTCTTATACTAAGTTTCCATCCTTTTACCTTAAAAAATTACTTATTATTAGTTTCACTATATAATTTTCACCATCTTTCACATATTTACCTTCATAATTCCTATTTAATTTACTACTTTTACTCCGTTTACTCACCATAAAATTCTTCTACCTTCCTATCTTTCGAACCCTACCTACCCTACTACAGCCCGAAACATCTAGCTCTACAACCAGATTTAATCTCATATAATATTCCTCCCAATAATTTCATGATTAAGCCTATATCCACCCTCAATTCTAATAATGATTCTTAGCCTCTATCCTCTTTTCACATTCACAAGTCAGTTTAAGCCAGAAGCGATACTCATACTTCTTTATTAACATTTCAGTTAATCTGACCCGTGATCCGGTTATAAGGCCGACAGCGCACGGTTATGACCGTTTGTCGTGCCGCCAGGCTAGGTCAGTACTTCGCTGGGTATCCGTGCGCTACCTAGCTTAGCGTCGAGAGACGTGAAATACGGTCAAACCAGTGGGCATTCTAACGTCGGACCCCATTGGTATATCAGACGTACTCTTCCTTTAAATCCATATCTTTCCCCTTATTACGGGCAATCAGAGCACTCCTCCACTCAATTTGGTAGGAAACTAAAATTTATTAACAAAGAATTCAACGATAAAATTGGTAGTAAATGTAATAGACGAAATTGTAACACATGCATTGATCTAGAATATGAAGCATTAATTCAAAGCACCTCTACAAATTATTACTCTAGGACTAATCTACATAATTACGCTAATTGTCAAACTAAAAATATAGTATATTGTCTTACGTGTAAAATATGCAATATCCAATACGTAGGCGAAACTTCATGCAAGGTTACACAACGTATGTACGGACATAAATACTCCATTAAGAAACATAAATCTAGTTACATTTATGAACATTATAAAAAACATTTCCCTAATGGTCAACCCAATGGAATGTTCTATATCCATATACTAGACGACCACTTAGAAAACGAAAATGATCAAATCCGGACAGATAAAGAACTTTATTGGATTAAATTATTAAATACTGCATATCCATTTGGTCTGAATGACAAAATTAAAGGGTATGGAATTATATCAAATCCTAATGGTAAATATAAACACAGGCTCCTTATTTCTGTTTAAAAATTCAACCCCCACCACGAGATAGAGGTCATAAAACAAGAAAAAAGAAAGCCAAAATGGATAATTTCCAATTTAAAAATTATCAAATTACAGAAATGAAGCCCAATGAAATTAGAACACTTACACATAATTTACCAAAAAAATTACACGCTAAATTCATTCCATATCTAGATCATCATAATCCAAATGTAAAAGCTCTTGCTAAAGCCGTTATACATAAATACGATCAGCCTCAGAACGAGACTAAGATTAAAACTAAAAAACATCCCAAAATTAGACTAAAAATACCTTACATTGAACCTAAAATAGAAAATATTAATGTTAAAAAGATTTTAAAAACCTACCTTAGCCAAAATAAAATAATATTTAATAACGACTTTCAAATAACTTATCAATACAACCCTACACTTGGTCAATTATTCTTTAATTAGAACCGATATCTTAATAAATTAGATAACAATGCCATAAATGATACTAGGAACGTTTGTAGACAATGCTATCGTTATCAAAACAGCTTAAATACAATAAAATATAACGGTCATACCCATATTCTAACTGGTGACAGTGAAACCCTTACAAAATTCTACCCTGATACATCTAAAATTCTAAAACTAGGCACAAAATATAGACCAATCCTTAATCCATATGAAGCTAAACATAGAAAAAGAATAATTGAAGAATTAGAAAAAGAAATAGCTAAAATTACAAAAAATTGTGATAATAAAACTATTTCGGAAGACATAATAACCATAATTCTTTCATCTTATCTTACCCCTAAAGCTACTGAACTAAATTGGACAGAAATTAGAGATTTACGTAAAACTTTTATCATTACTAGTGTTGATAAAGCTACCTCTAATTTTGCAATTATATGCCCACAACTCTACCAACTATTTATTGATAACGAAATGGGATACATTAATGGGCAGCCTAACGGAAATGAAACCTATAAGACATATACATGTGAAAATAGAGACCAAATTATTAAAAGACACCTAAATACTCAAGTATTATATCAACTTAAACTAGGTGAAACACCAGATCTACCTAAAATATATGGCCTACCTAAATTCCATAAGAACCCGATTAAGTTTAGATTCATTACAGGCGCCTATAACAGCTCTATAAAGTCAATATCAGTATGTCTTCATCAAATACTAAAATTTATAAGGCAACATTTCCAAAGATATTGCTTAGCTATTACTAATTTCACTAATAAAAAGGTATATTGGTCCATTGATAATTCGAATCAAGTTAATTTATCGGAAAATGAAAATAAAAATAACATTTATATAGCTGATTTCAGTAGTCTTTTCACTAATTTACCCCACGACATAGTTAACTCAGCTATTAATGGTATACTAGAAGTCTGTTTCCAAAATGCTAAAAAACCCAATATAAAACTAGGATACAAAAATTGCTATTACACAAATGACGGAGGAAATAATACCTACAATAAGAATCAAATTATTTATTTAGTTAAATACCTTCTAAATAATAGCTTCGTATCATATAAACAACAACTATTTCAGCAAAAATTAGGCATACCTCAAGGTCAAAACTGCAGCCCTATGCTAGCTGATCTTACCCTCAGTTACTATGAATATCTATTTCTTAAAGATAATTATACAGAAGAAGTGGTAGGTCACAGATATATGGACGATATTCTTATTCTATATAAAAATGGCTTCAATATACAAAATTTACTAAGTAAAATATACCCTAAAGAACTTACACTAGAACAAACTAATCAGACACCACAATCAGGTAATTTCTTAGACCTTAGAATCTACATTGAAAACAATAAAGCACAATCGGAATTATACAATAAAGTAGACGATTATCAATTCAGTGTTACACGCATGCCTAACTACTCTTCTAACATCTCATACTCTATCAAACATGGCTGCGTGGAAGGCGAAATCATCAGAATAGCCAGGAAATGCACTAGTCTAGATACATGTATTAAACATTTACAAAATTTAATTACCCACTTAATTAAAAACGGCTACCCCCGTAAAATTTTACTAAATTTATGCAGTAAAGCTATGAAAAAACACCCAGGGCTCAGCCTAAAATACGAGACTAGCGGTAAAAACTTGATTCACAAATTAAAACTAACACCTATAACGCTTTGATAAACCTTTTCTTTCCTTCTCATATTTTAATATCTCCATTTTATTATACTTTCACCTTTTCTTCAATTCCTTTCCCTTTCAATTTATTCTTAATCTTCTTACCCATCCATTCGGTTACGTTAGCCTACACCCCCACCCTATCGACACAGCCTTTTCACGGCCGTTCGTGCTAATAGAGCCATCTTCTAAATCAAAGAGAATTTCAGAGGAAGTGAAACAAATCTTACTAAAACGCATCCAAAATACTAATTTCAAATTAAACTTAAAAATACCATACTTTATACCAAAAAATTTAACCTTTTGTACTAGAAAACATCAGGGATCCAGCTGAGGAGACCCACCCTGATGTTAAACTAGCCTGTCTTGGATAAGGGTCGAAACAGGCACCCACTTTACCTTTTTCTTCTTTTAGCTCTTCTTAGAGCAACCCGCCATTCCCTTGTGGTTTGGTTCACACGGCTTTGCCGTTCGCTCGCTTGCGAGTTCACACCCTTCGGGGTTCCGCAGGCTTCGGCCTGTTAAGACTCCCACTGTTCGCAGTGTGGAGTCTCCTTTCATCTTTATACTTCTCATATATTACTTTTCTCTCTTTA